AGTGAAACAAACTTGCTGTCAAAAGTTTCCCGGCGCTCAGGAAGGACGAGCGCGTCTCGCCGCCCGGCCGGGGGAACCGCGGTCTTTTTTCCGCGGGGAGGGAAGCCACAGGAGCTGCCACCGGCACCCCCGCTGTCCCCGGCCGGCCTGACCCCCCCACACCGGGCGGCCGGCCGGGACACTTGGGTGAAGGACTGGCGGATCACTCAGCCGGCCAGGCGGGTGTCCTTTTATGGGGCGGATGGAGGCGACGGTGAGCACCCTTCGCCTGCGGAGAGAAGCGGGAGCGCTTGTGCCAACAGCCTGACGGAAGGGACAGACACGACTTTTCTGCGTGTTTTCCTGGCTTGCCAGGGAGGGAAAGTGTCGCCTCTTCCCTCGTTCGTCCTCCTCCGCCCATCGCTTCTACCCAGGAGCTCCGGAGGGCTCCGGGAGGGGCCCGGCGCTGCACAGCCCCGGGCACACAGGGACGGTCCGTGGGGCCGGCGCAGCCCCCCCCGGAGCGGCAGCCGGAGGGCTTCAGGGCGAAGGTCGCGTGTCCCCCCCATCTTGGGGCGAGAGATCTTAGTGTAGTTGTTCTCGTAAGTGAAATCCGAGTTTTTGTGAGGTGCAGTCCCCATACATTTTTAACCATAGTGATTACTAAATTAATAGCAGGCCCTAAGACAGATGTCAAAACGTCTTGAAAATGTTTATCTGTGAATAATTGAGAAGGTGGTAAGACGCATTATCTGATTGTATAATGAAATATGTATGAGGAACAGCTGTTTGCAATAGTCACCTCCCGTTGTTTCATTAGCCTAGAGCCTCCTCTTTAAAGAAGCGCTTCCCTGAAGTTGGCCATTCATCATCGGCTGCTTCCACCGGCGCCGGCGGCCGAGCCGTGCCTGCCGGAGCCACAGCGGGGAAGTGGTAACCCGGTGTTTTTCCTAGGCCGGTCCACGGGCTCTCCCTGTGGTATTTCTCACTGGTGGTTTGCTCCGAGGGCGGGAGGGAAGAGGCGCGGATGGGGTCCGAAGATGTCTTGCTGAGCAATCTTAACCTGAAGAGGATGCCCTGAGAGGAAAGATCCTAGATGCTCATCTAGGAAGCACAGCAAACAGCCATTTATTATGATTTCATGCCGAGCAGCGACAGCCTCCTCGACTGCTTAGCGTTGACATAAACTTCCAGACGTCGAGCATATGCTGTTGCACAGCATTGTTTATGTGTGGTACCAGATGTTGCTTTGCATCCTATTGTCTGGAGACAATGTTTAGTTCAGGTTAAAATATCTTTACTTAAACTGCTCAGTTGGCCATTGTGTGAGCATTAGTGAAGTGTCATGGAGAGGTAATGGGAAGTCCGGGGAGGTTAGCTCTCCGAGCGTGGCCAGGAGGTCCCTGGTTCATGGTGGGGTTACAGCCACCACTGTCATCTTTTGTTTTCCCTCCTCAGAGAACCCTTGTCCTTCCTCTAAAAGGATGTGTCCCGCTCTTTTTCCCTTCGTAGTTTTCTCTACCGTTTCATGAAACGACCCGATGTTTGTTTTTCTAGTTTCCCTAAATCGCCCGAAAGAGGAAAGGAAAGTACGTTTCTGCGTCACCACCACCCCAGGCCAGGCCGGTCCAGGCGGAGCGGGGCGGCCCCACGCCCCTGCCCGGGGATGCTGGCGCCGGGGGGAAAATCGGTCCCTACCGCAGAGTTCACGCTCCAGCCAGGGCGGTGGCTGCCTCCCTCCAAAATGCCCGGCTGAGCCTCCCCCCAGGCCGGGTGGACGGAGGGGGCCACAGGCCGTCCCCCGGCAGGGCCTGCCGTTCGGTGGCAGCCCCCTCCTGTCGCCCGGAGGGGAAGTGGCCTGCCTCGAGCCTTTTCTTCCCTTTAACCCCGCAGTCTGGGCCGGCTGCGGCAGCTGACCTGTAGCAAGACTTTTGCTCCGTGGGAGAAGGGAAAAAAAAGCTATAGACTTTAATCGGATTTCTCCCCAAACACTTCTGGTATGTTGTTGTTATGCATCTATATGGAGATCATTATTTATAAATGAGCGAGTACGATCAGTCGCAAAGACTTTAAGAGCCCGGATTTGTGTCATTAAGTTGAGGGCGGGGTAGAGTGACTTAGAGGGGGACGGAGGTGCTGGCCGGGAGGCGAGCGGGACCTCACCTGCCACCCCGCTTTCCCTTTAGCCACCCCGTCAGCCCTGGCGAGATCCCCGCTTTGGAGAGGCTGGAAGCCCGGTTTCAGCCCCCGTGCCCAGGGGGTCTTCGCCGCCCCGCACGGACACCCCCGGCCGCGGGCAGCCCTGGGCTGCGGGTCGTGCGGCCGCCAGCTCCATGCTCTCCCCCTGCAGTCCTGCTTAACACAATAGAGGCATATTTTCCCGTAAACCAGGTGCCCTGCTAAGACTGGAGAAGACGTGAGAACATTTCCAGCAGCAGCAGATTTTATAGGTCTCTATGACTCCTGCCTCCTCTGCTCCCCGACATTGTGAAGCCACTTCAGGATACGATTAACATCTCTCTAAAATCTTGAATTAAACAAAAAGCCGCATTGTGCATTTCAGCACTGAAAGCAGAGGTTTTGCGACGCGATGACCGTATAATGTAGATGTATTTGTGTTATTTTCATCATTTTTGCCTGTGCATAATCCCTTATGCCTTTTATTATAATACTACACACTACAGTTCATCTGTAAAGATACTGCTTCAGAGGGACCTGTTGCATACAGTGATGGTAATTAGTAACCTTGGTAACAGTTTTAAATAAAGATTATAACAATGATGTCAACCGTTTTTATTCACCATATCATAAATGGGGTCTCAATATTATTGTGCCTGTAGAGGACAGAGTTTAAGAAACAGTTACAAGGTTCCACTTTACTTATTATGACGAGAGTTATCACTTTTTACCTTGACCTTAAGTAAACATGATAATGGCTCCAAATAGTATGAAGATTTTCAAACTCCTGAGGACTCTGTAAACTTTAATTTTCCGAATGAAGTAGATATTATTGTGAATTAGAGTTATCAGGATCCAAGTACCCTCACAAAGAACATTTTAGTCTTCCAGAGAAATACCTCAGAATAAGTACTGCTTGCAAACCCAGATGAGTAATGCTAACCATTAGTCTTCTAGGCTACCATTAGTCTTCTGCACAAGCTCTCCCCTCTATTAAAGCTTAGAGTAAATGCTCACAAGCTGAAAGCAAAATTAAATATAATTGCTTTTATTTACCTATTGCTTTTATACAATTAAAACATTTTTAGTTACGTTTATCAAACAGCATCCACTTCGAGTATTACCTGTCATATCTGTTAATTCATTTTTCTATATTAACTACACCACCATTAGGTATTAAAATATGTGTATGTATACACATATACATTACATATATTGTCTTTGTCAAGATATATTTCAGTCCTCATTAACAAAAAATATTCTTGTGGAGGATTCTCTGAAGCATGTTTTTCATGCACACTTATTAATAACCACAGTTGTCAAGAATTAGATATGCACAGATTGTAAATGAAAAGAAAATATTAGATGAAAAATGAAATATATAGTAGAATTGAGTATAACTATTTTTCCTCCTAAAATAAAAAAATTTACAGAGTGAAAAACTGAGCTATTAAGCTTACTTAAAAGATGGCTTTGTTGGTTTAATTATACTGTAGTTATTTTATAAATATGTTTCAAAGGAAGCTTGCCATATTGAATGTCAATGAAGCCTGTAAAGAAAAGACTTACAAAAGCTAATGCATACCAAATACCAAATTTTAGTCATTAGCATTCCTATTTATTACAAACTAAAGGAACCTATTAACAGACAAGAATTTCTGTTTAGCTAGCATTACAATGTTTAGCCATTAAAATAAAAAAGGACCAAAAATTACAATCTTCTCCCCCCACCATTTAGAACTGTGTGTTCTTTTTACTCAAAAAGACAAATCTATCAAAACCCCGATAACAGAAACTATGATTCTTCATTATTACTGTCTGTACCAAAGCAAAACCTGTACCTCTGTGTTCAGGCAAACTTTCTACTTTTTCCAAAGCATGAGATCTGTCTGATTAAGTGCTTCAGATATTTTGCACATACCTTAACAGCTGCATTGGAGGGACTTCAGGTTACGGGGAAGCGTAGGTTGGCTCTGGGCTCATGCAGGCCTGCGGGGCCTGGTCCAACATCAGTAGGCACTTCTGTATCATATTCAGTAGTTTGGATCAAGTGTGGGGTGTGAATAGCAGCTTTCATGCTTAGGATGGAGGAAGGAAGGGCTAAACCACTCACAAGTTAGGCAGGCTGCTAACCAGAAGCTTCTTTTCAGTGCTTGTCGCAAAATCAGCATATTTATTCATGTGCTGCCTATTTGTTCAAGAATTTCTTTAAAACCTCTTGGCCAAGCATTTCTGTTTTTCAAATACCCTTTAAGAAATTGTATTTTTGTCTGTTTTGAAGATGAGTGTGTGCAAATATACTATACCTCAGAACTTCTAAAAAAATGGTAAGCATATTATTATGTAACATTACATTTCACACATAAACAGTTAATAAGTTTTCTCTTGCTTTTCACGAAACCGAACATTTTTATGTAAAAAGAGAAGCTTTTGGGGACTCTGATATTCTTGATGAGGTAACAAACTGATAGATCTTTTCTCCTTTGTTACATCTGACACGGTCCTTGCCTTCTCAGCTTGAGAGCATCACTCCTAGAGACTCTGTTACGTCTATTCAAATTGACAGAGAAATTCAAAACAAGACCAAAGAAGCAGCACAACATCTACAGACCTTCTGGATGACAGATGCTGTCAAATGCCTGTTTTGCCTCAAAGATTACCTCTGTTTTGAAAGAATCAGGGGGAATGGGGTGGGGAGCGGTTCAGTAAAGTTCAACCCATCTGCTTAATCTTTGTTTTCCGATTTTCATTGTTTATTTCTAAAACAGGCTTTACATTTAATTTAATAAAGGGTTTGGCTTTACTAATAAGGATCACTTTTGATTTTGATTTTGCAAGAATAGAGTGAAGACTTGTACAGAGAAAATTCACTGTATAAACATCCTGCCAAGAAAGGAAGGTTCACCCTTACTCCATCTACAGGATCTGTAAGTACAAGAAATTAGTTCCCCTCAAAGATTTAAACTATCAGGCTTTAGGATGCCCTTGTAGGGCTGGTTGTTTATAGCTTTTACGTGAACATATGTTGAGAAGTTTGACTGAAATAGTTCTACAATCAGCATATCTTAGCATGTATGAAATATTTTGAATAAAATAGTTCCTGTATGACCCCATTTATGTGATCCATGTTGCTGCTTTTCACTAATGAAAACAAAACTGATGTGAAATTTACATGAGTGTGATGTCTGGGGATAACAGTCTCATAAAATCAAAATGATTCAGGCTGTCTCTGATTTTGCTCAGATAAATTAGAACTTAGGAGGAAGAATCTCATGGAAAATTAAATATAGAAGCAGACAGAGTTTCTGAAATTTTAGGAACTCCTACTTTTCCTTGGAGATATTTTCTGAGTCAAAGATCTTCAGTTTATTATCAATGAAGAGCAGTGGCTCAAGAGGCTGCAGACAGCCCAGATTAAAATAAGCTGGAAGGAATCTTGATATTGTCTCTGAAGTGTTGTAACTTTCACAAGGAGAGCTTTTTCCAGGTCAGCGTGTCTATAACCCAAAATGGAGCTGATCTATAGATGTACAAATCAGATGCTGCTGGAAAGATAGATGTCTTGCAGGTCTCTCACTTAAACTTAGGTGGCATGTTAGATAGCTACCATTAGAAGTTTTTCAGCAGAAAAGCTTTCATTTGCAACATTTCTACCTACCAAACCCAAATTATTTAGCTCTAAGTCCTGTTGCTAAAGTGGTGAATGTATTTAAAGGAGAAATGGTAACAATGCAATAGTTCCAACCATGAAGTTCAGACAACAAAAAAGAGCAGCCCTATGGAAGAAAAAGAAAGTGGTGTGATGAATCACTTCTTTGTTTATACTGTCCCTTTAATACAAAGCAGAATACAAGTGCATGAACAAAAATGCTTAAATTCTTGCATTTTCAGCAATGTTTTCCCTTTCTCACTTTAAAACATCCATAGTCCTTTGTAGCCATATACCGTATGCATCAGAACAATTTGGAAAAGATTCATCTATCAAGTTTAACAACTTTATGGTGTAACTTCACAGAGGTTTATTGCTTATTCATGTGGAAGTGAGTACACCCAACTTGTTTTGCCTGGTTTTGCTACTTTTTCTGGTTTGCAGGGCTGTTCTGGTAGCTGCAAATGGCTTCTCAAGTGACATTTGGTGACATTCAGTGGTGTATATTTATCAGTATTCTTCACCTCACTTCTATACGTGTAATCTATTTTATTTTGTTCTTCATAGCAACCTTCTTTTCACTGTCCATACCCTGAAAATGATAAATGGCACAGTGGCATATTTCCTTAGCTGCACTAAAATGTCACTGTGAAAAATCTTTAATGGACTAAGTGTAGCTTTTCAGGTTATAACTTGTCAAGTTACGGAGAAATTCTAGAGTTTCTCCCTAATCCACCATTCTTTGGAACCATACCACTGCAGGCAGAGACTAATTATAAGTTACACCAGTCAGAGCAGGACAAGAATAAATGAAGTAGAAACTGTTTGATAAAGGCTCATTTTATACTTGCTTTCTGTATTTGTGCTGTGTTACCCGATGTCCTCTGTTCAGGCTAATGCTGAATGTGCCTACTGCTTATGTATGAATATGGATGTAAGCTGAAACTTATGTTATTTTAAAGAATTTGTTTATCACTGTAGCACTGATTATATTTATGCTGCTCCTACATCTGGGGCTGCCCAGAGAAACCCTCTGTGCTGGCCAATGTTATATTACACATTAGGAAAGAGTGATTAAAATGCACACTAAATGGAAATAGATGGGTGAGAGGAAATAGTGTTACTACCTTCTTTAAGATCCAACTTACTTTACTTTACTTTACCTTACTTTACTTTACTTTAAGGTACCAAAGTAAGAACGACAGACTGAGGCTTTCAAGTGGGCTCAGAAATACGATCTACCTGTCCTGGATTCAGGGGTCTAGGAGACTATCCTGCTTTCCTATTTCTGCTCCTTTTTTAGCAGTTCCTGATCAACTTTTTGGACATAATGCTCAAGTCCACAATATGCAAGTGTAAGAGAAAACAGTTTTTGAGAACATTCACCCCAAATCTAACTGCAGAGAGTACTTTGGAGTCACTTTTCCTTAATTTTCCCTACCTTTACAATGAGTATTTAGAAGAAACATCTTAGTTCCTTGTAACAGGAGAGCTTTAAAGAGAAACCTGCTTCCCTGTTCTATTATCCCAAAGTATCCTCACCAGGTTTCCTCTCATTTCAGATCTAGAAAGCACAAAAGGAATGAAATGCTAGAACAAACAAGAACACCTGTGTTGCAGCAAATGGTGAATGGTGCATTTTATCTGACAAAGACTACATTTTTTGACACTGAGCAATGACAGCACCACTTTAGTTCATGCCATGAAGTAAGAAGTAGCTAAATTATTTTTATGTTATTTTTTTTCTGCTACTTGCATTTAGGTGGTATTTTCTTTATCAGTGAAGACAAGAGGTTGTAAATCTTGAAGTGCTATGCAGCATAAAATACTTCCTTGGCTTCTTACCAAGAGTGAGGGTGCAAGTGCTTTAGGGTAGAATTTACTTTCCTCTTCTCCGATTTTCTATACCCACTTCCACCCTATTACAAACATGCTATTACAAGGCCCGTGCACTCTTATAACCATACCAGTTCCTCAGGGCCCACATTTCACTCTTGGGATTTAAGTGTTCACATACTCTGTGATGACTTCCTGCAAGGATGTGACTTTAAATCCCTATGCCTCTAAAATATGCCCAGTGGGGAAAAACCTATTTTCTGACTAACTTTAAAATCATGTCAGTCTCAGGAAGTGTTGTGAGTTCATCAGTTTTACCAATTAACATTTTCAATGCTTATTTACTGTCTGGGTTTAGATCACCCAGTATTTTGGTTAGAGCAGAGTTCAGATTTCACTTTGTTTCCAAGGCAAAGTTTAAGGGAAAAGAAACCTCTTTTTCTTTAACAGCTGATACCAATAGCTGGAGGAAGTCTTTTGTATACTAAAGAGGACTTATGTCTGCAAGACTTTTTCTTCCTAGTTAAAATGGGTGGTCTAAGAGAAAATACTGCCTCTCCCAGCAGGTTTTTTTTTTCTTATCCTTAGACCATACTACTACAACAGCTACAGTATTACCATGCTTTGTCCTGTAGGTGTGAGCAAAATAAACTTACAATGTTTTTGAAATGAAGCCTTATCATGTCTTTAAGGCCTTTGCACTGCTATTTTTCTTCAGTTGACACTCCCCTGGAAGTCATTGGAGGCTTTGTGCCTGGATCTAGAAATTCTTAAATTTATCGGCTTTGCCCTAATGTTGTTCCTAGAGGACAATCAAAGACTTTTCTCCAGTTCACTCTGCAGGCCTCAGAAGTTTACCCTGAGTTCGGTTTACTGCATTTACCACTTGTTATAGTGAAACTCAGTGAGTCTTCATGCAGTAGTTGCCAGCCTGGCACCTATTTTTCAGCATGACATCACAAGGGATTCAGCTTTTCACATCTATTTATTTAGTTTGACTGTTTTTGGCCTTTCAAATGCAACTGTCTTTTGAGTGCACAAATGCCACAGGGGATGGTTTGGCTTTGTGAAAAGACAGGGAAAAAATGGAAATAAAGGGGCTTCCCTAAGGGCTTATTCATAAGATACACTGCTGCTTGTGGTTTGTTTCCCATGGAGGACAAAATTTATCCTAGTGTTTGACATATGTGAAGATACCACCCCATCTCTTTGACAGCATCAAAAGGGAAGATGTACTCAAAGATCTCAAATTGCATGCAGAGACTATCAACTGCTTCAGATTAAGCACAGCTAACATCACTGGGACCAAAATGGATATTGTATTACTGTCCTTTTTATCATCCTTTTTATTCTTGTGAGTATGTACAGTAGTTCACTTGAAAAACAAAATATTGAAATAAAAACTGAACACATTTCCTACTGTAATGGTCTGCCTGATAAGAAAATTCAAGTACTTCTTTCTAAAAGATATTTTGGAAAGGGTCATAGTTACAGTAGGAAAAGGAATATTCAGAATGGGCTTTTCAAAAACATTTGCCTGGTGGCCAGTTTTATGACATTTCAGAAGGAACACGGCTAAGGCATAACCACAGTCCAAAGCAATTTCACACATGTAAGCATGGGTAGATTTCCTGGTGAACATCCAAGGGTGTTGCAGACCCTCTGCTCTATCCTTGCTAGATTACAGGCTAAATTGTGTCCAAGTCTCTGCACTGCTCCCTAATATATATTGTAGGTGCAATCATCTCTGCGTAAATCCCTCTGTGGATCTGGGCCTGAGTGTTTTTTAAAATCCCACCCACATGGGACACCCGTAGGTCAAATGAAAAATTGCATAAGCTATTAACTAAAGCTATAGCTTATAAAAAGTTACCCACAAGAAAGGTACACAGGTTAGTGCTGCTCCAGGGCATCCTTAAGTCACACTTCAGCAAGTTATAAAGTTATCTTTGGAGAGCAATCATACCAAGTTGTCAGCCCTGTAAGGATAGATTTATGTGTCTCTGACATGTCAGTTGTCGTCTTTGCCACTTCATTGCGGCTATGATATTTCAGCAGGAGGTAACCACTGCTATTCCCCTGCCTGAAAATCCACAGAACTTTTCTCTGTAAACATTTATTACCCTCAGTATTTCCCCAACGCAAGGCTGCATCTCTGAATTCATCTACATGTTTGCTTAACTCTCACTCACAGGTCAGTGCTTGTTTGTCTCAAATTTTTCTCTTTTTAATCTGAATTTATGTAGCAGAAGATTCATGGGCTAACCTTTTCCCCGCAAAAGACTTTGTAGTTTGCTGGGGCTTTTTAAGCCATGTACTTTAAAAGGAAACATTTTTTTTGTTTGTTTCTGATACAGGTCATCATCCTGCACTGGAAGAGTTACTGTCTTCATTGTGGAGGGACCTGATCTAGTGGTTTTGTTAGTAATCTGTACTGTAAATCCAATATTTTTATTGAACTTTCTTCCAGGATTTTCCTTGTTTCTCCATATATTCTCCTGGAATATTGTTCTACAGGTTAGAAAAATTATTGTTTCTAGCTGAGTCTAAAGTGAACAATTAGAGAATGGAAACTAACAAAGTAAGTTTGAGCTTAAGGCCTTATTTTTCCACAAAGGGGATTGATGTGGCAATGCCAATGCCTGGTAGCGGACTGTGTCCTGATTGCAGTTACACTGGAGCCTGAGCCCTTACCCAAGTTCACAGCCACATGCACAGAACTGGCATTTGGTAGGCAGAAACTAGAGAGAGAATAGTGTGTGGTTCAGTACAGATCTGTAGCCTTAGCGAAATGATACTCCTGATAGTCTTAACTTTTGTACAAAATGCCCTCTGGAGGCATGTTTACAGAGTTGCCATTTCATCAAATGACATTTTGCATATCCTTTGGAGATGCCACATAGGTAGTTCAATCGTACTCAGCTGCAAAGTGATCATGTAAATTGAATATGATTCAACCACTCTCTGGATTACAAACCAAGGGTATTTTAGCCTGGCAGACAGTAAGAGGAGCTGAAGTGGGGCTAGAAAAGGGAGAAAAGACTTCTTTCCTTCAGTACTGCCATTTTGGTACTGCTGCAGTGTTCCGCACAGGTAGCAGCTTACGCCGGTATATGGAGGAGATCTGCTTCATAACAACAGAACTTTTTCTGTAAAATTCAATTCTTTCTCAAGTGTTGCTCTCTTTAGTGTGTTTCACCAGAATTAGTATTCAGAAACTACTAAGAAAATGTTCTAAAAGCTGTAATGGTATCACTTTTGAAAGTTGCTGGCTATTTTCTTTCTCTCATTATAGCACATCAAAACTTACTAAAGCACCATACCACTTTCCCCCTAATTCCTTGCTTTAATTTCCTGTTGTCTTCACTGGACTCTTCTACTATTTGCTTTGGTTCAGTGATCTGATTATTCCCTTTGCCCATGCTTGCTTACTGTGGTCTCCTTCCTCTTGCTGGGGACAATTTATTTTTACTAATCGCCAGCCCTTTTTATTTCTCTTTGGAATTATTTTTAAAAATAAAGTCTCTTTCTTTTTGTTGTGAATGGTCCTCAAATATTTGATCATGATTTATTCTGAACTTGTTGGTCTTCTTTAGACTGAAATTATTTCATAAGTTGAAATATGTCTGATCTCACTGTTAGCAGCAGGCAGGGTTCAGAGCAGAACCTAGTGAGACCGAACAAACCTACCCATGAAACTTCCTAGCATTCCATTGATGCTCCAGTTCTCTCTTGTAGCACACATAAGTGCTTTTAGAAGGTTTGTTTTTATACAAACAAACAAACAAACACACACACAACAACAAAAGAGCATGTGATCTCTCCTAGCATACTCAGGTTCAAATTCCTGATCTGCTGTCTCTCGAACTACAGATGACTGTGTCAATTCACCCACAACCTGACAGTTATCCCAGGGCAAAGTGCACTCCACCGTTCCTGCTAGAGGTGATCTACTTCCTCTAACAATGCATTCTTCAGTCATTATCTGAATTTGCTTCCTCACATATTGGATGAGCATCCCCACAACTGCGCTGCAGAACTACACTGAAACTGAGATGCGCTTTCTGACGAAAATTTATTTCATTGAAAAAATCCGAATCAGTTCTAATTTGGAAACCCCAGCTGAGTTCCTACTGTGAGACACATATCATAAGAGACAGATCGTGCTGTGAGGGGTTGCCAGTTGGAGAGATGAAGACTGAGAAGAAAAGCACAATAGAAAGGTGAAATGGTTTCCTCAGAATGATGCAATGGGTCAGTGGCAGTTTTGGGTCTTCTTAGTGCCTACCATAGCCCATGCTACCTTTCACATCCTGAGATTACAGGCAGTCTGTGCTTTCCCCTGGCCATCTTTTCATTAACCAGATTATTCTTGCAGGTAGATTAATGCATGGGTGCACAAGTTCAGCAGTTTTGAACCTTACTGCTTACAAGGCATCGCATACGTATATGGCATCATCAAAAATGCTAAAAAGGCAGACTATTACACTAGAGCAGGCAAGGGGACAACGAAAACCAAGTATTTTTCAAACTAAAGTGTGTCAGCTGTTCTGAACAAGGTAAGAAATATCACTCAAGTTTCACAATTTGGAAAACCTGGCATAAGTTAGTGCACCTGAGCCTGTACAGGTTATTAGACCAGTGTCATAGTCAGAATGTCACCCTTACTCAAAATTAAACTTTTCCTTTCAGATGTGTCCTAGGTCCCTAAGACCCTTTGAGAATTATAATTCTTAAAGCAATTTCTTTTTGTATTTCTGGCCTTACACTGATTAGTAGGAACAGATTGGAGACAACTTGTTGTATTTTATAAATAACATAACAGTGTATTTTGTATATTTTTCCTAAGAGTTTTCTGAAACTCAAATTTCTCTTTGAGGACAGCTGGTGCATGCTCCTGAGGAAAAAGATGCTTATGGCAAAGCATGATTTTAATGATTTTAATTTACAGTTTTTGTGGGAATATCATTTTGTTTCTGCAGAAATCTGTCTTTCCATTGTTTTAGAAAAGCAAAGATACTTAAATAGGTCTTATATTTTATTACCCCAAAACACATTTACTTTTGTTTGACTAGATCATGTCAGTATGTTAATAAAATAATTGTTATTCCAAACATGCTTGGTGAACTTGAATAGCAAAGTGAAGTTTATATGTTTAATCAAATATATTCAGTAATTCCAGTGGAAGATGTAGAAGTGTTTTCCATCAGTATTTCCTTGACTTTTGAAATGAATATACATTGCCCAAGTTCTCATTCTTGTGGATCCATTTGCTATTCATATCTCAGCAATTGAATTTATTTGTATGAATGTTTACAATTGTTGAAAAGGAAAAAAATTCCACAAGGTCACATCGGCAACTTTTCTTGCTGCAAGTGCTTTTACAGATGTATGATCAAGGAAACGAAAAGTCTTGCAGATTTTCAAGTCCCAACTTGTAAGGTGGATCATAAAAACAGTTGTAATTTCCAAAACCATACTGCATTTTTTCATGAATATTTGGATGTATTATAAAAAGGCTGCCATTTCTCATTTTTGTCCCTTACGCAACACTTCATCTTTCCTTCTGCATGAGATCATGACTTAAAGTTGTCTAGTTCCTTCAGAGAGTTTTAAAAGAAAAAATAAAAAGCTCAAAAAAAATTGATTTATAAAAAGCCTATCCATAGTGCTATATGGTTTGAAAACCAGACAGGGAACTACGAGGTGAGAACTGCCCATGGACTGGTACTGGGCAGGCATGGAAAGTGGCAGGATAGCGTGGTATGAACAGGAGTAGGAGCTCTGGGGGGCAATGGAAGTTCTGAGGGGACACTTGAAGAGACAACACAGAAATGAGATACAAAATGAAAGGAGCTGAGGAAGAATGATTGTGAGGACACAGGAGCAGAATAGGCAATTGCAAAGAGGGGGGAGTTAAGGGATCCTGCGAGGCTCGTTCTGCTGTTAACCCAGCTGTCTCTCTGGGTAACACTCCGGAACGATGCCCAAAGCTAATTTGTAGTTTGTAATCTTTCTATATATTTATCACTAAACTCTGTACTTTTTCTTCAAGCAGCTTTCTCCAGTAGTGACTGCTCAGGGTCCTTCCCAGGACAGAACAATTGAGGATGGACTTTTGGTGGGTAGTATGACTGGCAGAGAGGACGTGAAGTCAGTGCCCCAGAGCTCAAGTGTATCCTGTTCGCAACTTGTATCAGGAGTGATCCTTCCAGCCCCTGGAAGATTTTGTGTCCTCCAGGAATGTGAAGAAGTGGGGAGTCCAAGAGGGACACTTGAAAGATTTCTCCAGCAAGAAAAGATGTAAATATTCTTGTTTATTGGCTGACACTTTTTAAAAGTTTTGCTAAATACTATGGTTTTCTTACTGCTGATAGTAGAAAAACAAGAGAAAAGAAAACATAGAGTTGCTCAAGATTCATAGTGTTCCTCAGATTATCTTAGTTGGAAACCTCATTTGAGATAAGACATTCCTCTTATTTTGTTAGTTTATTATAAAACTAGGGATACGATGATTTTACTGTTAACAAACACATTTAAAAATGTTGTAGAATTGCTGATGGAAGAATATTATTCTTTTTACAAGATAATAAGCATTAAAAAAAATTATTTAATATGGAAATTCACCTTTCCCAACATACTTATTTTCAACCTACAGTGTATTCAGAGTATTTTGTAGAGCTTCTCTGTTCTGAAAAATGCATGGAAAAATTTTCACAGAGATATATACATACATATGTATATGTATTTTTCTTTTAGGGGAAAATGGCAGCTGAACAAAACATCTTCTTTTAACAAAGCAGCAAAGCAGTAGTATAGGACCAGAGATGGAAGTCCTTCTGCTGTAAATCCACATCAATTCAACTAAGACCAAGCACTTGTGAATATTAAATTCACAATAGTGTGGAGGAGAGTAGAAATGGCCTTTCTTTTTGAAACTCTTGGAGTCCGAAGTGAAAAAAAGTAGCAGGGTTTAACCTTTAAACTTTTCACTGACCTTTAAACAGTACTTTGGATTATATGTGCCCTTGTTAATCTGAAGCCACTTGCAAACATAACTGGCATTCCTTTTTTTAAGTATACCTTACATGCACTATTGAATGGGTTAAGCATTTCAAAAGTTTGGCTCTTGTTCATTATGTCTTTATCACCTTTTTAAGTGGTGTTTATCCTTGTCAACAAAATTTTATAGTTAGCAGCAACACAAGCAATGATTTGTGTCGAAGTACATTACTTAGGCGGTGGCCAGATGTAGATCTAAATTCTTTGAGGTGCAAACCCAGGTGTTGATCAAGGCACTAAATTTTGCAGAATTCCTGTATTAATGTAGAGCTCTATGAGTACCAGATATTTTAATATCACTTTCCATCACAGATGAGTAGAAAATCTTCCACTAGCATCTAATCAGACCATTATTTTTTTCCTCTTCAGCTTTTCTTTCTTTCACACTATTCACGTCACTGCTTTGCATGTACTTTTCCCGCACATACCCTCCCCATACATATCTTCACTTTGGCCTATTAAGTCCAAACTACAGGTACAAATTATAGAATATCAACAAAAAAATTATCTTGGACAAAATTTCATTGTTCTCATACTCTAGGGAGTTTAATTAACACTAGAAACTTCTACTGCTTGGTATAAATAAAAGAGTCTAAAATAGGTGATTGTAATTTCCCCTTTTCACTCACACAATTATTGAAAAATGTCTTGCCATTCTCATGGAAATTTGTATTCTAAGTACATCTGTCTTTAGCAGAAAAGTGTCATGGGCAGAGCACAAATTTATGAGAGGATGTATATGTATAAGAACTAACTGCTATACCATACTCTATGTCCATCATTTGGATCAAGAATTTTCCTACTGGAATGCTACCGTAACAGACACACTCATGTACTGTCCCTTACATTCAAGCTACTCTTCAAACACATAAATACTGGGCTTAGAGATAGCCTAAATTTCAAACAAATTATTTTGCATTGAAATATGAAATTCTGAAAATTGTTCACACTACATAGCACAACAGAAGCACTCATGCTGAGCCAGTGGGAGAAACACCATTACATCTTCAGAAAACTAAATGTGTGGGATTTGTGTCCCTGCAAAGTTTTACCAGGATCTGACATTGTAAAGACATTGAGTCTCACAGGTTTTTAAAGGAAGTAGAGAGATCATAAGCAGAGAGGAAACAGCAAAAGGTCTTGTGATGTAGCTGGTGAAAAGCATCTGTATTTTATGCTATAACTTTTTTTATTATCTCCTTGTCTCTTGCTGTTGCATTTTGGAGAATGATTAAATCTCTGGAGAGGAATCAGATCCATAAAAATTGTCAGTTGTTAAGACAAGATATTCAGTGAATAAATGAATTATTGTACTGAATTCCTTTATTGAATATTCCTGTGGCACTGCTTTAGTTAAGTATCAAGAACACAAGCATTTAACAATATTACTTTAAATTCAAAATGCCTTGAAAGGATTGAGATTGAATTTGCAAATGTAATCAAGAATAAAACATGTGCCTTGGATTACATGTCACTTCTTGGGATGTTTTGACATAACACATTTAGAAAATACTTTCCTGTGACAGAAATGATTAAAATAGATTTCAGTTATCTATAACTTCTAAAGGAGCCAGTCCAGTTCTTGGTTAATTTGTTCTCTGCATCACAGAAAGCAGCAGCTGACATGCTCACTTGTATATCAACGTGGAGGCCAACTGCTTAAGGCTAAAGTGCTATTGTGTTACTTGTGTGAGTAAACCTATTTGCAGCAAGAGAAATAGTCATTGATAAATTGTAAAATGGTCAAAAGTGAGAAAATAACCTAACTTCATTCTCTTTTCTGAAGATGATCTGTGCAGCTATTTTAGACAGACCTCTTGCATGATGGTACCCAAATCTTCAATGCCTCCATCTTTTTATCTCCTCTCAGGGGTACCAAGATCACACCAACTTTTCAATATGTAGTCAGATAGGCACACTTAGAAAAGTACTGGGTACATAAGCGAATCCATTTGATATTCTGTCCTATCATCCTAGGTGCAATCACACAGCACCTACAGGATGGCCAAGGGATCAGACCCAGCCAGTACAAGTTTAGGAAGGGCAGGTCCTGTTTGACCAATGTGATCTCCTTTTATGACCAGGGGACCCTCCTGGTGGATGAGGCTGTGGATGTGTCTATCTGGACTTCAGCAAAGTCTTTGACACTGTCTCCCATAATATACTCCTGAAAAAGCTTGGACAGGGCTTGGACACGGGGCTTGGACAGGGGCACTCTGTGCTGGGTTAGGAACTGGCTGGAAGGCAGGGCCCAGAGGGTGGTGGTGAACGGGGCTGCATCCAGCTGGCGGCCGGTCACCAGTGGTGTCCCCCAGGGATCAGTGCTGGGCCCAGTCCTGTTTAACATCTTTATCAATGATTGAGTCCACCAGTAGCAAATTTGCGGATGACACCAATCTAGGGGGGGACTGTCAATCAGCTGGAAGGCAGGAGGGCTCTGCAGAGGGACCTGGACAGACTGGAGAGTTGGGCCGATTCCAATGGGATGAAGTTCAACAAGGCCCAGTGCCGGGTCCTGCACTTTGACCACAACAACCCCCTGCAGCGCTACAGGCTGGGCACAGAGTGGCTGGAGAGCAGCCAGGCAGAAAGACAGGGGGCTGAACATGAGCCAGCAGTGTGCCCAGGTGGCCAAGAAGGTCAGTGGATCCTGGCCTGTATCAGGAACAGTGTGACCAGCAGGTCCAGGGAAGTGATCTTTCCCCTGTACTCAGCACTGGTGAGGCCACACCTTGATTACTGTGTCCAGTCCTGGGCCCCTCAGTTCAGGAAGGATATTGAGGTGCTGGAGCGGGTCCAGAGAAGAGCAACCAGGCTGGTGAAGGGACTGGAGCACAAGTCCTTTGAGGAGAGGCTGAGGGAGCTGGGGTTGTTTATCTGGAGAAGAGAAGGCTCAGGGGAGACCTCATCACTCTCTACAACTCCCTGAAAGGAGGTTGTAGCCAGGTGGGGGTTGGTCTCTTCTCCCAGGCAGCTATGAGTAAGACAAGAAGGCACGGTCTTAAGCTCTGCCAGGGGAGGTTTAGGTTGGATATTCAGAAGAAATTCTTTACAGACAGGGTAATCAGGCATTGGAATGGGCTGCCTAGGGAGATAGTGGATTCTCAGTCCCTGGAGGTGTTTAAAAAGAGACTGGATGTGGCACTGAGTGCCATGGTCTAGTAACCATAGCGGTGTTGGATCAAGGGTTGTTCTTGATGATCTCAACGTTCCTTTCCAACCCATCTGATTCCATGATTCTATGATTAATTTCCAAAACAGAAAATATAAGGATACACAGGGAGGTACTTCTCTCTGTATCTAGGGTGAAAAAGTACTTACTTAAGAAATTCAGTATATAGAAGGACCACAGAGAACTTTCCCAAAGAACAACCATGTCCATAATGGAAAATATACAAAATAAATTTAGTATTAAATCTAATGTTATTAAATTTATTGTTAAGGTAATTACAGGTAATTTTCAGTGTAAAATTTTAGTATTAAATGTAGTGTTAAAAAAAAAGTTTTAATCCAAGTTGACAAGTCCTACCCCAGAATTACACTTAAACTTGCTACTCATGTTTGCAAGACTTTTAGATATCCATGAATGGTAACATTAGGTTTACTAAAAAAAACGCCACACTTAAACTTAACCAGGAGAGCAGATAGGACTGCCTGTTAATAGTAACATTCTCAGAACAGCGTGGTTAATTCACTAATCAAATCACCTGCCCATCCATCTAGGCCAGGCAAATAGCAGAAACGAAAAAAGATTATTATCTTTTGCAATGCACCTGTCCTTAGCACATGATGGGAGGATTGGGAAGATAGCATCCATCAAAAACATGTTGCTTCATGTTCTGTGACACATTTACTGTAAAAGGAATGGAACAGAGAGAAGGAATTTGGTTGTTGTGGTTATGAAATTCAGAACCTGGTTCTATAGCCTGCTGACGACATGGACCTCTGTTGTCATTTGGCGCTGATTATATATTCACTGTCTTAATTAATAATTATGGATATCTTAATAGTGCATGAAATTGCACCCTATCTGAAAATAAAATGGGTACTGACATGTCAAGGACTTAGCTAAAGGGTGTTTTGATTTCTCTTTCCTTAGAGCTGGATCTCACTGTTGATCTGTTATCATTTGAGCTTCTTTAGATGAAACAGTAAGGTGGCCAAAGGAAGATTCTCCTTCCTGCAGTATCATAAGACTGGTACCAACTGCACAACACGACTGACAAGAAGTAAGGTAAGGTTAGAAATGCACTAAGGCAACTCTAGTACTAGCTAACTAGTATTACCCACTGTTCAAACCCTTCTGCTTTCCATGGAGTATTCCCACATTCACTGGGTGACAGAGAACATCTGCCTCACTCCTTAGGCCTTTGGTTAAGACACTTAGGGGACTCATGCATTTGAAAGCCTCATGAGGGAAAAGAAAGTAGAGCCTGGAACACTCAGACCCTAGGAAAAATTCACAGATACCGCATAGGTGGGTACAGCAGGGTAAGGGGCACCATCACCAAATTTTGTCAGAAAGCAACATCCTTTAGGACTTTTGCGATGTCCCTGACCTGAGAAGTGTGGTCATGTAACATTTCAGAGGCAGCCCCTTGGGTGAGGCAGACATGTCTGTGTTCACATATCCATGGGACTCAGAGGGAGTTAGGCGTGAGGAAGAAAGAGGGAAAGGAAAGGGTTGCCTTGCCCTGGAAAGCAGATGGTCTTCTCAACCTGTATCATAGGAAGCATCCTGGAAATATTAAGGCTGAAAATTGAGGGGCTTTAAGCTGCTTAAGGCCCTGGTGCACTTACACCTTTATGTCCACTTCTGCAGAGAAGAACATAAGATTTGCAGTTCAAAATACAGGTACCTATAATGTTGAGGTTTGGTAACCAGTTCCTTTTTTCTGCTATGCTCCTCTGGGAAAAAAAAAAAAAAAAAAGGAAGAAAAAAAAAAAAAAAAAAAAAGAGAGAGAAAGAAAGAAAGCAAAACTCCCACAGTTTAATTTTGCTATCAGACTTGACTTCATCCACTTAGAAATGTTAAAATCCAAGTACATTCCAGTAAAATGATTTGAGGAGATGGTACTCAGTACATAAAAAGCAACACAAATAAACTTCAAATATGAAAGTACTGGATTTTAAAGCTTGGAATTTAAAACTGCAAAGTGCACAGAAATAAAACCCTTACGGAGATGCTAAAATGTCAATTCATTATTATTTCAAAAAAGATTAAAAAATAATTTCTTAACATTAAAGTGCAATCAAGCACTGAAGAAATTATTTAAACTTTCCATAGGAAAAAAGCACACTCTAGAATGCTGCAAGGGTATTGATGGCTATTAAATATTTACTTTTCTCTCTCGCTCACACTAGAAAGAGTAATTTGTATTTGGCAGAAACTGGCTGCAATTACATTAGTCAATCCAAAAGCCCAACTTGCTCATACAAAATGCAAACAAATTAGTTAAAATGGTCTAATTAGCAGACTGTAAAAATGCAAAGCAAGGTTGGCATAAAAATGTGTGCTAGACAAGTATACTTTTACAAAATAAACAGAAAGGCAAATATGAAATAGTCTAATAAATCCTAACTGAAGGACCATAATGTGAACCCAAATATTTAGGGATTTCATACTTTAAAGAAAAGTTTCTATGGACTCTTAAATATTTTCTTGCAACCCACATTCCACCATGAATACATGATTAATACCATAGCTGAAGTTCTACTGGGATTTCAGTCAGTGGAGCCCTGTGGGGCCAGGTTATATATGCATTCTGTGTGAGAATATACACAAACACTGCTCCTAGTCAAGTTAATCAGCTTTGGAGCACACAAAGAATATAGGATGTGGCCTATGGAAGGAAGGTCAGGCCATTTCTTGACATGTAGTGTA